CTAGACGCCAGATGAATAGTCAAAACCTTACAAGATCCGTACTCCTCAACTTTGACCACTTCCTCCCCAAGTTTGCTCCGCTACGCGGTGACGCAACACGTGGAATCTAAGGCCGCGCACAAACTCACAATTGCCCCTCTTTTCACCCAATATTTACAATTCTTCTCACTACACATCCCAGTACTTAAAAGGTCAAATCCATCATTAAAAAAAAAAAATTAAACGCTCTTTCTATAAGACCGCCGCTGCTCCCATCCCACCAAATTAAAACCATCGAAAATCCGACACGTCGAGAGCGATGAAGAGAGAAAGAGAAGAAGGAGAGCTTGAAGTTTTCGACATGGTGGATAGCCTAATGCTGCTGTCCAGAGTTGGCGAATATAATAACGACCAACAACGGCCGGAAGAGCCGCAGCGGAAGAATAGTTCACCGGCGGCGGCGGATTCCGGCAACGGCAAGGTTTTAATTTGCAAGACTTGTAAGCGGGAATTCAAGTCGTTCCAGGCTCTGGGAGGGCACAGGGCCAGCCACGGGAAGGCCAAGTTCATGGACGTTAACAGCGCGGAAGTTTTCAATCCTCTCCGGCCGCCGCCGGCCAAGTCCGGGACCCACCAATGTCCAGTTTGTGGGCTTCAGTTTCCGATTGGACAAGCGTTGGGTGGCCATATGAGGCGCCACCGGAGCACCGCCGCTGCCGCCGCCGTGTTGAAGAAATCTGATGGCCGTGAGGTCAGGGTTTTTGGGGTGGATTTGAACTTGGCGCCAGTAGACAACAATAATCTGAAGTTGCAGTTGATGACTCCTTTTGTTGATTGTTTTAATTAATTTTTGTGAGAGTTTATATAGGGTGTTTATTCGGATATTTTCATTCATTTTTCACATGTTCATATAAATGGGGATTGATTTTTTTATTTTTAGTTTTTTGTTCTAATTCTATGCTTGGGCAGAAACAAGTAATTTTTTCAACTTTTTTCCTTTTATTTTCTAAATTTCATATGCTTGTTATTTCTCCATAATTCATCCCGAATATCTAGATTTTATCATATTTAATTTTAATTAATAATGATTTGTAACTAGTAAATAGATACAGCCAATAAAAACATATTCTGTTACCTATTATGTGATTAATAAAGTTTATATAGATAGAGATGAGGATTGTGCATCCTCCATTGGAGAATATTGTTGTCAGAATCAGACTCATTGGAGGCGATTCAAGCAATCCGCAGGGAGACGATCTGGCAAAACGATGTTCACACTTGGGTTCGTGATAGAACAAATTGCAATTTGCTTCTCCATCCATATTTCTTTGCGCAGGCGAGTCTGGGAATCAAATCAAGCAGCACACCTTCTTACTTGTTGGAGGCGAATCCTAGCCTGCCACGTGTCATGATTGAAAAGATGGATTGGATGAACGCGCAGACGAAACATGGAAATTGACTCTGCAGTACTCAGATCGGAGGATAGGGTAGGACCTATAGTGCCGAGTCGAGGTGAGATGGAGTCCGTAACAATGTCTCTTCCGTACTCGACAACATGCCGCGATTTTAGGGTGTGTCAGAATCCTTGTCGGGCCCGGTTTCTATAAATAGAAACCCTTGCCTTAAATGCAAGGTACGCAATCTTAAGTAGACTCGGCAAGTTAGCTCGGACTAGAACTAACTTGCTCGTCGGAGTGCTAACTTTGTTTTGCAGGTCTCAAGAACTGTTCAAGGGAGGTGCAGGACTATTGGCTATAGCTCGTCCTGAGCACACCGATCTAAATCGTGTCCGAGCTCAATCAATTTCTGGCTCAAACATCTGGCGCCGTCTGTGGGGAGGACATATCTAGAAGTCAGCCTCACCTTTTGCGATCTGAGCCAATGGCCCAAACCTGCTCCCAGCGGT